CTGCCCTCCTCAATCCCCGCCTCTGGGCTTGCTGCCTCCGCTCTTCACGAGCGGCGATATCTCCCGGTTGTCCAGCCCTTACCATCCGAATCCCTCCCATGTCCATGAATCCTTATGGTGATAAATCCTGTGTAGGTGATCCTGTTGCCGTTGACACCGCTTGGCCTTTATGGTGGTTTTTCTGTCACGGTGTCATTAATAGGAACGGACCAAAGCGCACGGTCCAAGAAACATGACTTTATTTAAATAACGTAACCAAAACAAAAGACGACTCAATGAAGTCCAACAGTAACACTGACTGAAAAGGAACAAAAACCCACAAACCAAGGAGAAACCACACAGTTTAAATATGGCTCCCAATCAGAGATAACGAGCCGACAGCTGACACTCGTTACCTCCGATTGGGAGTCATATGACTAATCAAGAACAATCACCAAACATAGAAATGAACAACTAGAATACCCAACATAGAAATACACCCAAACAATGAAAATGAACAACCCTGGCTCAATAATCAAAGTCCATGGAGCCAGAGTGTCACACTGGGAATGTCAATGACGTGATGGCTGTGTGGAGATTGGAGTAACAATGGAACTAGTGTTATCATTTATGCTTATGACCTTATGACCTGACACATGGCCACATGCACATATGCACATAATCTCAGGGGCCGGGGAGGATGATGAATGATAAATGTTTTATAATGTGTTTATGAAATGATAATGGTGAAACAGAATGAACATGTTTGATATTTTATAATCCAGATACATGCTTAAATAAGGAATAGGCATGGAGTATATGCTGTGTTTTAAATGAATGCATGTGTTCTTTCACAGGGGCTCTTAAACTGTGGCCCATGGGCTTGTTATAGACACATGGTATGCATTACATTTGTTTTTTTAAGAAGGGGCCTAAGCACGCAGCCAATAGAATGATAGAATGAGAGGGGTGGTACAGAACTAAAAAAAAGTTAGGAATGTACGCATGTTTTTTCATTTGTGTGGATATAAGAGATCTCTAAGCCAGAGAGAGACAGTTTTGTTCCATGGAGCAAGCTGGGCTTTGTTATGCAATAAAGTCTAATTCTTGAATTCACAAGCTCCGGTGTCTTGAGAGATATTTTTGAGATGATTATCTATTAGTCAAATATTTCTACCACGACACAAGCAAGTGCACACCTAGGGGAGAAGGGTAATTAGAACGAAGCCTCTGTAAATCTCACTCAAAACCAGCTCGTTCATTTTCACTTGTGACAGGAAGAGTGGAAGTTGAGGAAGAGCACGTGGACAAGGAATCTGACTGGTCTGTTGGGATGGAGAGGTTGCTCTCAGACTCACTGACGCTGCCGGTTTGGGGAACCAGACGATACTCACGAACAGGACAGACACGCTCAGTGAAGTTAGGCTGGAAGCAAATGTCTTTGGAGCCGTGAAGCCAGGCCTTTAAAGGTAAAGGTTACATGTAATATGTGAGATATAAGATGTGATTTACAACTGTAGATAACAGTAACACTTATAAGATACAAAGATTATAATGAAGTGCAATGCATGGGACCAGGGATAAATATTACCTCTACCTTGTCATCCAGGTTCTTGCCTGGATTAGGCACAATGGGAATGAGGATGAATCTCAGTCGTTCTCTACAAAGTGATAGGGTCAGTTCAGATTCAGAGTATAACTTTTTTCAGAGGAAGAATGGAGCACTATGTCCAAAGGAGATTGATTTAAAAATGTAAACTGTACCCCTTGATTTTAGACTTTATTGGGGGCCTATGTGTGGTGTTAACTTCTGTTGGCAAACCTACCTTTCCCTGTAGACCAGCATGCAAGGCCAACATGAAGAGTGTCATGGCACCCACTAATGACAGCACTGGCTTCCACATAGACATTGAGCTGCCAGATATGTCTAGGCCAAAGAGAAAGGTTGACATGACAAAGTCCTGACAGAAGCCTGAGCACAACCTTATAACCATAAAGCGAAGCAGAGATTTTGGATCTATTTACCTGTGATGTTATTTCCTTTCATGGAATCCCATAGAATGGGCTGACTCCATTCACTCCAGAACTCGGACTCGCCACAAAATGCTGTTAACTCGTGCTCTCACTTGAAACTCATACCGACTGCTCTTTAAGGGGAAAGGAACAGCATAATTCTGTTCTCTGATCAGAGTAGATGTCTGAAGAAAAGAACAAAGAGAGAGTGGAGGTGAGAGAGAGTTATTTTCAAAGATTTGTCAAGTATTTTGTTGAAAAATGACCATTAGGCTACAGAGTCCAAACAGTAGTCCAACGTCTGAGTCCTGACCCCTCCCCACCTGCCACTTGTAGTTGTTTATTCTGTAGCGCACTTCACTCTCAATGCAGTGGTTGTTCTTGCTGTTGTTCCAGTACAGATTCAGCTCTGGGTCTTTGTTCATCTCAACTGACAGGTTGGTAGGAGGGTAAAGCTTCACTAGAAAAAGCATCAAGGAGGGTCAAACGTTAACGACACATCAAATGATGATTGAATATAGGACAAACACACATGCTAAAAAGCCTAAAGTAAGATGACTATTGCTCTTCATGTTTAATGCTGTTCTGTATGTAATGTTATGATTTGATTGAGAAAAAAAACCTACCCATGCTTTTGAGGTTATGGTTCTGCACATAACTTTTGTTCTGATGGACCAGCTTGGTTGTCAGTGTTCTAAACCTGTCAGACTTGTCATAAGACAGTCTACATCCCACAGCATTACTCTTCTCCTGGAGATATGTTGTGCACTCCTCCATATGATCTTTGATGAACCTAAACACATACCATGTGAAAATGATGGATGAGAAATTAGGACCAAAGTACGGACATTCAAGATTTGACAGAGATACACTCCCCTCCGTATGTATTTGGACAGTGAAGCAATTATTTATTTTTTCTGGCTGTATACTCCAACATTTTGGATTTGAGATCAAATGTTTCAAATGAGGCAACATTACAGAATGTCAATTTTTATTTGAGGGTATTTTCAAACATACTGTATCTGTTTTACCGTTTAGAAATGAGAGCATTTTATGTATCTAGTCCCCCCATTTGAGAAGTCATAAGTATTTGGGGCAATTCACTATTATAGTAGTCAAAAGTAACTCTACAAACTTGTTGGATGCATTTGCAGTTTGGTTTTGGTTGTGTTTTGCGTAATATTTTGCCTTTAGGAACTGAATGGTGAATGATGACTGGAGTAATTTTCTTTCTGTGATAAGATGTTTCTGAACACTTCTAATTAATCCTGATAACGCCATGATTAAGAAAATGAATCATGAATAATGATGAGTGAGAAGTTTACAGAAGCTACAACAAAACATACTAACCCTCACCATTAATGTTATTTCTGGGATAAGATGTTTCTGAACACTTCTAAATTAATCTGATAATGCATGATTAAGAAAATAAATCATGAATAATGATGAGTGAGAAGTTACAGACGCTACAACAAAACATACAACGTCTCACCATTACCAATAACAGGGGAGGTTAGCATGTGTTAGGGGGTATGATCATTGTGTCACACCCTGATCTGTTTTCACCTGTCTTTGTGATTGTCTCCACCCCCTCCAGGTACAAAAAGGAACTTGTAATAAACTTTTGTTACATCGACACTGTCTGCATCTGGGTCTCTCTCCTGAAACGTGATACTTTGTGCCTCTGTAACTTTCTCACTCATCATGATTCATGATTCATGATTATCCATAATCATCATAGCATCCACATTAATGTAGAAGTGTTCGGAAACATCTTCTATTCTTAATTACAATAAAAAGTTACTCCAAAATGACATAATACATTATTCACCATTCAGTTCCTATTGTGCAAAATATAATCCGAAATACAACCAAAACAAACTGCAATGCATCCAACGAGTTTGTAGAGTCACAAGCTTGATGTATTCATTGAGTGCAAGGAATATGGACCAAATACTTAACTTTTGACTACTTTATACACTACAATTGAATTTGTCCAAATACCTATGATTTCTTCAAATGGGGCGTAATGGCCAAATAAAGGAAACACCAACAAAGCGTCTTAATATGCACCTTGACATAGATTCTACAAGTGTCTGGAACTCTATTGGAGGGATGTGACACAATTATTCCACGAGAATTCCATCATTTGGTGTTTTGTTGATGGTGGTGGAAAACGCTGTCTCATTCGCCCGCTCAGAATCTCCCATAAGTGTTCAATTGGGTTGAGATCTGGTGACTAAGACGGCCATGGCATATGGTTTACATGGTTTTCATGCTCATCAAACCTTTCAGTGACTTGTCCCTGTGGATGGGGCATTTCCATCCTATTGGCCATAACCATAGAAACCCAAAAAATAATGGCCTGCCCAGCATTTCTATACATGACCCTAAGCATGATGGGAATTAATTGCTTAATTAACTCAGGAACCACACCTATGTGGAAGCACCTGCTTTCAATTACTTTGTATCCCTCTTTATAAAATTTTGTTCCTTTTTTTTTGGCATTTTACCTGAAACATAAAGTGTTCATTGTAAATGGCAAAACAGATACAGTATGTACTGTATGAACATACCCTCAAATAAAATCTGTAATTCGTACTGTCCCCTCATATAAACAAAATGCTGGAGTATAGAGCCACATTTAAATGTTAGCTTCACTGTCCACAAATACATATGGTAAGGAGTGTAATAACAATAATATATCAGTCATATAGAGAGTCTCAAAGCCCCTTTCTTTGTAAGAGGACAACTCAAACACCTCAATCACCGCCACCAATGTGTAGCACCCAATCACAGTGATGCACGGCAAGCATTTTGCCCAAAGACCTCAACACCCATCACATGTTAAAGGTTGACGGGGTTCTCCCCACTGCACAAACCCTGTTTTTGGGAAAAAGGTGAAGTTGACCTCTGGGCTCCCCTTGTTCACTCCAGATGCAGTTACATAATCCAGATTAATGATCAGGCATTTTTACTTCTGCAAAAGGAACAGAAATTGAAAATCTTTTTGAAATATGACATTACACTGAATCCTTTAAAGGGAGCTGTGGTATGATATCCAGTGAGTTGCATAATTACATTGGGTGCTTACAGATTTTTAAGAGACAATCAGATAACATATTAAGGGGCTTTACATTCATTATAAACATGACTAGTGTACTTTTCCACCACACATTGAATTAAATCAATACTTTTATCAGCAGTGAATGTATATGACAAGATGGATGGCCATGTTACAGGAACCACAAGTAGTTGACGTCAATCTCAGACTAGCAGGGGACTTTTTGTGTTGCATCACAATAGAAATGCCACATGAAACTTTTCTTTTCAGATTATTTTTTGTTTCTAGGGTGTTATGTAATAGTTTGATCAAATAAATTGCTTTAATACCTGGTAGAAAGTAATTTGTTTATTATTTTATGACTCCCAAAGAAACAAAAAAACATAATTTGCTGACCCATTAGTAAATGAACATTGAAAAGAAATTCTAGACAATGTCAACTGAGCGAAACCACCATCAACATGAGAGTACATGATAAAATTGTCAGGAGACAATCTAAACCTCACTATCTTATTAACAAAAATACATAAATTATAATAAATTCCAAAGATTCTCCAAAATCAAAAAAATCTCAAAGTTTAGGGCACATTGGCCGGATGTGTTGTCAAGCAAGGTCTTAACAAATTGAATAAATTAACATTATTTATAAAAAATAAATGTCACAGGTGTAGCATCATTAATACAACCGGAAGATTACTGGGGTGGAGGGAGCCTCATATCCTTGGAGAGAGATGAGGAAAATAACCCGCTTCCAACCCTCTTCATGTCAAAATGGATGCCAGTGGGAAGAACGCAGCCAGCTCTGTCTCATGTATTTGTGTATGGCTGTCAATGCCTTCGTCTTTAACCCCCTTTAGTTTCACTCTTTTAAACAGCCATGGTAGGTGTGCTACATTTCCTGTTGCACTGGCCACATCCTTTAATCTATGAAAAACACAGGGAAAGAAACTACAGAAAATAACATTGGGAGGGGGATGTACAGATCCCACTAATAATCTACAATTTTAAAGTAAATTAACATGCACAATAAAGTACACTGAACCAATTTTTTAAATGGTTTCGGGGGTTTTAAAAAAATTTCCAAATTAAATAATTTTTAAAGGGAAAAAACCCAAAAAAAGTTTTTTTTTAAAAACTTTTTTCCAAACCCCAAAAAAAAAACATTTTGGAAATTAAAATAAAAAAAAATTTAACCCTTTTCTTTTTCGGGGCAATTTTTTTTTTTTTTGAAAAGGGGGGGGGGGGGGGGGGGGGGGGGGGGGGGGGGGGGGGGGGGGGGGGGGGGGGGGGGGTTTTTTTTTTTTTTTTTTTTTTTTTTTTTTTTTTTTTTTTTTTTTTTTTTTTTTTTTTTTTTTTTTAATTTAAAAACAAAAAATTTGATGGCCATTTTCAAAAATAGCTTTTCATTAGCTTGCGGGAAATTTTTGTTTTTGGCAAATGAAAACCCCCTTTGGGGAAATTTTTTTTAAAGAAAAATTTTTTTTCCAGTGTTATGTAATTTTAAAAATTAAGCTTTAAATTAAAATGTTTTGTTTTTATTAGGGGGGGCCCCAAAAAAAAAAAAAAACATAATTTTCTCCCAAAAAGGGGGAACGGGAAAAAGGAATTTTTGGAAAATTTGCACGGGGAAACCCCCATAACAGGGGGGATCTTAAAATTTGGTTGGTAAAACCCCATTTTTTCAAAAAACATTTTTAAAACAAAAAATTAAAAAACTTTTAATTTTTAAAATTTAAAAGGGGTTCCTTGTTTGTCTTTTCCATTTTTAAAAAATTAAATTTTTTTTTAAACAAAAAATGTAAAAAACAAAAAACCAAAATTTTAAGTAACCTTAAGTAGGAAAAAAAACCACTAAACAATTTTTTTCCCTTTGGTTCAAAAATCAGTAAAACCACCAAGGCTTTTAAAGGAAACCCTCCAAAAAATGTTCCTTTTTATTTAATTTTCCCAACACCTTTATTCCAATTTTCCCCTGTTCCCGGGCCAATTTTAAATTTTGCCAAAAAATTACAAAATTAAAAATTTTGGGGGGGAACAATTTAATAACCCATTATTTTACTATTGGTAAAAGAAATGGAAGGAAAACAAAAATTTTTACCAAAAGCCTTAACCAATTTTGGGTTTAATAAAAAAACCCATTTTTTGTACCTTTTTCTTTTAAAAATGTTTCCCAAAAAATTTGTTGTTTTCCCTGAAAACCTTAAAAGAATAAAAGTTTCCTTTCTTTTTTTTTAAAATTTAAATAAAAATTTCCAAAGGCTTTTCCATCAAAGCCCAAAAATTTTGCACCCATTGGGGGAAAAACCCGGGTTAGAAAATACACTTTTTAAAAAAAGGGGTTTCCAAAAGGTTTTTCGGGCCTTCACAAAAAAGGGGGGAACCCCCCTTTGGTTTTCAAAAACCCCTTTTTTCAAGAGAAAAAAAATTTTGTAAGGATTTCATTTTAAAAAAGGGGTTCTTTTTTTTGGAACCAAAAACTTTAAAGGGTTTTAAAAAAATGGGAAAAAACAAAAAAAGCCCCCTTTAAGGTTTTTAAAAAGGATTTTTTTTTTTAAGGGAATGAAAAACCCAAAATTTTAAAGCCCAAAAAATTTAACTTTTTACAAATACCATTTTTCCTTTTCCTTTGGTCAGGAAAAAACGTCGAATAAACAACCTCATTTGGGGCCCAAATTTAATAACCTTCAAATTTAACAAAAGCCAAAAGGACCCCCTTTTTTAAAAAGTTAAAAACAGGGTTTTGTTTTAAATAAAATTAAATCATTATTTTTTCCTCTTTTCCCCCCCCGGGGTCTTTTTCAAAATTTGTTGTTTTTCCTTTTTTTCCGTAAGGACTTCCGGGGGCCTTTTCCTTTCTTTTTCCGTTTACAAAAAGAAAAAACCTAAGGGGCCCCCAAAACGGGTCCCAAATCAACAGGGGGGCCACATTCCCCCCCCGGTCTCTGTTCATTAAAAAAAGGGTTTAGGGTTTTCCGGGGCCCCCTTTTTGGGAAATTGGGGTTTCAGTCCTTTTCCCTTCCAAAACCCCCTTTTTGTGGACCAATTTTACAGGGCCCCAAAAGGGTTTCGGGGAACCAAAAAGGGTTTAAAAGGGGGGTTTTTAAGGGAAACCCCCCGGGGCCTTTTAGGTTGGTGGGCCCTTTTTTTAACCCCCAAATTTTTTTCTCTCTTGGAAAAGGATGTTTGGTTAAGTTTCTTCCCACTATTGGCCCCCTTGTCCCGGGGTTTTGGAAAAAATGCCTTATCTTCAAATATCCTTCTATTTAGGGAAAAAAAAAGGGGATCAACCGTTCAATAAAAAGACGGTTTTAGGGATTTACCCCTTGGGATTAAATGGGCTTTTTGCCAAAAATGACCCCCAGGGGATTTTCCCTTCCATAACCCTTTCCAGGCCTTTTTTTCCTTTTTTTGGAAATGGTAGAAAAAGGGGCCCCATTGGGGGCCCCGACGGGTCCCGGGGCCCTTGACAAAGCGGGGTGGCACGAAACCCCAGTTTTTGGTCTGGATCCGGTGGTTTTTTGGGTGGGCTTTGGGGTTCCCCTTTCCTTTATTCTAGCCCTCCCTTAAAATTTTCCTGTTGGCCCATTCGGGCCCCCTTTCACGGGTCTTGCCAGCTTTGGGTCAAACCCCCCCCCCCTCCCCCCCCAACCCAACCCGGTTTTTCCCTTAATTTTAACTCCTTCCTTTAAAACATTTTCCCTTTCTTTGTTTTTCCCCCTTGTCCCTAGTTTTCCCCCCAAGTTTCCCACCCCTTTTGGCGCTTTGTAGGAAAAAGGGAAAAAAATAAAAGGAGAGGGCTTTTTTTCCCCCCTTTACAAAAACTGGGTAAACCCAATGAACGGAAGGCCCCCCAAAAAATTATAAAATTTTTTTTGGTGGGAAAAGGGAAAATTCCCTTTTGGTGGGAACCCCCAAAGGGAAAAAAAAAGGGGAAGCAGTTTTTGGGACTAATGCAAATTTGGGGGAAGTTATTTTTAAAACAAATTCAGGCCGGGTTTTTAAAATTGGAAAAAACTTTTTTTTCCCCTTTTGGGACACCGGTACACTAAAGGGCCCTTTGGGTTACATTTTTTTTAAATTTTCTTTTAACCAGGGAAATTGATAAAGGGAAGACAATAACACCCCGGAAAAAAAAACAAAAGGGGTAAGTTTTTTAATGTTTTATCAAAATTTGTCCTTTTTAGATAATTTCTTATTAGCCCCTGGGGAAACCCCAACTTGAAAACCCAAGGGAAAAAAAATAAAGTTTTGTATGTCCCTTGTTTGGGGGGGGTTTTAAAAATTTAAAACCCGGGAGAAATTGGCCCAAACCTTTTTTAGGGATCACAACAGGCCGGGGTTTTCCCCCGAAAATTTTTTAAAAACCCCAAATTGATTGGTAAAGGGGCTGTAAACCACCCTTATATCCCCGGTTAAAAAAAATTTTAAAAAGGGAAAATTTTTACCTTTTTTGGCCAAATTCAAATTTTTGGGGTTTTAGTTTTTCCCCCCTTGGTGTGGGGGGGTTGGGGGAAAAACACCAATGGCAGTCAATTCCCAAGGTTTGGGGAAACGAACTCCCAAATGTTTTTGGAAACCCCATTTTAAAAACATAATAAAGGGGTTGTAATGTTTGTAAACCCAAAGGGGAAAAACCCCCCCCCCGGGTTTAAAAAAATTAAAAGGGAAAAAGAGAAAGGAAAAGTTTAAATTTTATTTTAAAAAAAATTTGGTTAGGAAAAATTTCCATTCAACCCCCAAAAAATCCAATGGGGAAAGTTTGTTCCCATTTTTTCTTTGTCCTTTGTGAAATGGGTTCCATTAAGATTTTGGTTCCAAAAATTTAAAAATGTTTTGAAAAAGCGTGAAACCCCTTTCCCTTAAAAAGGGGAGCCAAAAGGGAAAGTTAAGGAGAAAAGAAAGGAACCCCAGGGAATTTTTTCAAAATTTCCTTAAAAAAAACCCCAAGAAAAACCCCCGGAAAAGGGTTTTATTTAGGCTTTTGGGAAAACTAAAAGGAAGGGTTTTTCCCTAATTTTTTCCTTTTTTAAAAAAATTTTTTTTTGGAAGAATTTTGTACGGTTTGTTTTGACAGAAGCAAGGCCAAATTTATGGCAGGAGAAGATGTTTTAAAAAAAAAACCAAATAAAAAAAAACCCAAATACTGGTTTTTTTTTTTTTTTTTTTTTTTTTTTTTTTTTTTTGCTTTTTTAGAAAAAAAAATTTGGGTTTTATAATTATTTTATTACCTTAATAAATGTAAAAAAAGGGGTTTTTTAAAAAAAAAAACCCCCAAAAAAAAGTAAAAAACCCAAAAAAGGTTTAATTTTATTTTTCCCAATTACAGTCCCAAAGAAAGGGTTTTGTTTCAAAAAAAAACCAAAACCCTTTTTTTGGGGTTTCGTTTTGGGGAACGGGGGCCATTCCCCAAATGTTTAAAATTTGGTTTTTGGCTAAAATTTTTTTTTGGGATTTTTAATTATGGGGGGTTTTACCCCTTCAAGGGGCCATTTTGGCCAAATGGGGGTTGGCCCCAAGGCCAACCCCCAATTTTTAACCCAACCCGGGGGTACTTTTTTTCTATCTTTGTTTTTCAACCCCCACCATTGGGCCCCCATGGCCCAAAACCTTTTTCCCAATTTTGGGCCCTTTTTCCCCATTACCCAACCCCCCCCTGGGTGCCCCTTTTTTTTCCCCATGATTTCCCCCCCTTCCCCCCCCAAGGGCCCCCAATGCCTTTTTAGCAAAATCCGGGTTCTTTTACATTGTTTGGAATGCCCAAAAATAGAGGTGGGTTTTGGCCTCACACCAGTTTGGGTTTGGGCCATCGAATTTAAAGAATGATATCCCAAAAAGGAACCCCCCCCTTTACTGAAAAAATTTTGGTGGTGGAACTTTGTTTTTAGGGGGTTTTTTACTTCCAGGGTTCCAGTGGTTTTTTTGGGTAAAACGGTCATTAAATTTTTAAAAA